AGACCATTCAGCTGACCTGTACTGTTTCTGGGTTTTCGCTATCCAGCTACCACATGAGCTGGGTCCGTCAGCCCCCAGGAAAGGGACTGGAGTGGACTGCAGTTGTTGAGTATGATGGTGACCTGTACTATAACAGTGCTCTGAAGAACCGGCTCACCATCTCGAGGGACACCTCCAAGGGCCAGGTGTTCCTGCAAGTCCGTGACCTGAAGCCTGAGGATTCCGGCCTGTATTACTGTGCAAGAGACACAGTGAGGAAGTGCTGCCCTGGAGACGTACAAAAACATTTCTGCCCTCAAATACCAGGCATGAGTCACTCACAGCTCCTTCTTTACCAGCTGTACAGGCTGTTCATAACTCACAAGCAAAATATGTACAAGCATTTGCAGAACATTCAATGAGTTGCCCTCATTTCACAATACATTTGCAGATGGGCTGAGGCTGCTCGTGGTGGCGCTCTTGCTCCATGACTCGCTCAAGCAGAATGACTTAGCACTTCCAACCACAACTGCATTTGGAAAGAGAGGCAAACTTGATGGTGCCAGCACAGGCAAGTGTCCCCTCTGCCCCTTCTCTATGAAGAGATAAGAATATGGGGCTCCTTAAGTTCATCCTTAACTTGTCCCTCAATTTGAAAATGGAAGATTCTACCTATTTCCTTGTCATGCTTCTTCACCATAAACGGAGTGGAGCATCATTTGACAGCAAATCCATTTCCAGAGTCTTCTAGATCCATGGAAGAGTCAGCTTGGAAGGTACTAAGGAGGCCATCGTGTCCAATCCCCTGGTGTTGGAGAACGTCAAGTCACAGCATCTCACTCAGAAGAATGTCCAGTTTGGCCGTGAGTGCTTCTAGTGTGGGGAAGCCCACAACTCATCCAGACAACTGGTTCCATTGCCATATTGCCCAGATAGTGAGGAGGTTCCTCCTGGACTCCAGCCTGAAACTGGAGTGCTGTTCCTTCAGTTAACTGTTCCATATCGTACATTCACGGATGAGTGAGAACAGGTTTTGTGCCTCCTGTCTGAGACCGCCTTTCAGGGACTTGCAGGGTGCTCTCCGCTTCCCATGCAATCCTCTCTTCTCATGGCTGATCAAGCCAGCGATGGTAGTTGCTCATCATATGGCTTAGTCTCCAGACCCAGGATCATCTCCTCAGCTCTCCGCTGCACCATTTTTGTATTCCTGCATCTTTCCCTCTATTCCTCTGGGATCCGAACAAGTAGGTTATGGTGAAATACATTCACCAACAAAAGCAGCGTAATGCTTCCAATATTTTTCAAGTATGTTAGGAGCACTAGAGCTTGTGCTACCAGGGAAGGTGGGAGATTCATGCTGGTATTGACACAAAGGCACAGACACCAGCGACTGGGAAAGGCAGAGTTCCTCACTGAACTCAGGCATACAACTGGTCCATGACCTTCATTTTCAGCTCCACTGGCTGAGGGAGGCTGCAGCAAACCCTCCTCAGTGACCAAGCCCGTGATACATTTGAAATGGAAAAAATACGGGGCATTCCT